CGGAGCGTGAGGGTCACGTGGCGTGTTCAGATGCATGTGGGATGGTGCGATACTAGGCTATGCGGGATCCTTCCTCCAGCCAGTGCAGGGGCGACCCTGCACATCAGAGGCTTCACTTGGGCCCTTGTTCCCCCATAGCAAGTGGGAGCAGGGGTGAGGGGTGGGGAGGACCCTCTGCCCAGCAGAGCTGGCCTGTGCTCCAGAACTGTGTCCGTGTGGCATTTACTGCAGTGTCTTCACTGTTTACATATGCAGGCAATGTGCAGTAGCTGCCCACGACCCTCATGCCAGGGCATGGGCGGGCGCCCACTCCTGCCTCCTGCCACCGTGTCCATTCCGTCCTCATGGAAGTGATGGCTATGGAAAGACTCATTCAGAACAGAAGTTCCAGAGGAGCTGTGACACCCCAGCACACCTGCACCCCTAGTCAGAGGACACACCCTGCACACCCGTACCCCTAGTCAGAGGACACACCCTGCACACCTGTACTCCCCTAGTCAGAGGGCACACCCTGCACACCCGTACCCCTAGTCAGAGGGCACACCCTGCACACCCGTACCCCTAGTCAGAGGGCACACCCTGCACACCCGTACCCCTAGTCAGAGGGCACACCCTGCACACCCGTACCCCTAGTCAGAGGGCACACCCTGCACACCCGTACCCCTAGTCAGAGGACACACCCTGCACACCTGCACCCCTAGTCAGAGGGCACACCCTGCACACCCGTACCCCTAGTCAGAGGACACACCCTGCACTCCCATACCCCTAGTCAGAGGGCACACCCTGCACACCCATACCCCTAGTCAGAGGATACACCTTGCACACCTGTACTCCCCTAGTCAGAGGGCACACCTTGCACACCCTTACCCCTAGTCAGAGGACACACCTTGCACACCTGTACTCCCCTAGTCAGAGGGCACACCCTGCACACCCGTACCCCTAGTCAGAGGGCACACCCTGCACTCCCGTACCCCTAGTCAGGATACACCTTGCACACCTGTACTCCCCTAGTCAGAGGGCACACCTTGCACACCCTTGCCCCTAGTCAGAGGGCACACAGCCCTTAGCTGTTTGACATTGTTGTTTTAGCACCATCCATACAACCTGTTCATTCATCCTCACGTGTTAGCGAGATTTTGTCATGTGTAAATCAGCATGCAGATAGTGGCTGGTGTTTGGTTCATAGCTCTCCTCTGGCTTGCACACAGTAGGACTGCAGTGTACACGATGTCCCAGACTTACCTTGAAGTGTCCCAGTGAGCCTGTGGCACCTCTCCAGGCCGGTGCTCAGCAGGCCCCGGGGATCTTCTGCGTTCTGCACTGCACAGGCCTCGCTCTCCTCTTGACCCTCCTTTCTGGACGTATTAGCATTCAGAACAGGCCTTGGGTTAGGTCGGTCTAATTTGTGATTTTTAAAGTGCAAAATAGAACCTAATAGAACCTCATTTGTCTCCGTGTACTGTCGTTAGGGCCCAGACCCCTTCCATGGTGTCCCCTTGCAGGAAGGGGTTCTTCACGTCCACACCCAGCAGGGAAGAGTGTGAGGGCAGGACTTAGGGCGTGGACATGTCACTTTATCACTTCGAGCTTGTCGGAATTTGACTGCAAGGACAGCCTGAGTGTGAAGGAACCGGGCATGGTGTCCAGCTGGTCTCCTGTTGGTAAGGGAAGGGAGAGTAGGTGCTGGTCCAGGTGCCTCCACTGGAGCAGGCGGGTGGCTTGCAGTTCCTCAGACATGGCTCAGGATGGCACCTGGAAGTGGCCCACAACATATGTATTGTACGCTTTTTAAGTATTGCCAGGTGCTCTCCAAGAAAGCTTCATCCGCAGTGAACGAGTGGCTTCGTCAGCTTGGGGTATCGTTCAGCTTTATTGCTCGATGATTCAGATGAATAGGACAGAAAAGATTCTCATTGTATCGTGTACTTTCGTGACTAGTGAACAACATGAAATTATTTTTGTACTCGTTGAACATTCATGTTTATCCTGTGAGTTTTCTGTTTGTGTTGGATTTTTTTAGGGGGTTGCTCACCAGAAAGAGAGGGAGGGGCGCACATGCATGGACACACCACCAGTGGGGCACAGGCACGCGCAGCATCCCGGCCCTCGTTCTCCTCCCTGTCGAGGCTCTGGGCACGCATGTGCATGCCTGTGTGTTTCATGCAGCAGGGCCAACTTCTCTGGGCGGGCGCACTCTGTGTTGGTCGGTGCTGACCTGCAGTAGACGGGTATGCACACAGACCCTAAGTGGGCATCCCCGTCACTCCTGTTATCACCTCCTCCTGACATTGCTAGTCATCGGTACGTGTTTATGTCAGAACTGTGTGGTTTTTATATTAGGGTTCTGGACTTTGAGGCTTGTTTAGGACAGACTTTTCTTCTTCTTCTATTTTAAGTTTTGCCATCGTGCATGTGCACTCACCAGAGAGATGGCAGGCTGCCAGGGCGGGGGGACGAGAGCTCACCGCTGGGGTGGCCACGTCGTAGTCCTTGGGAGATCACGCCCTGCTCCGGTCTCCTATACAGATCACGCCCCACTCCGGTCTCCTGCACAGAACCGCAGATCACGCCCCGCCCCAGTCTCCTGCACAGAACCGCAGATCACACCCCGCTCCAGTCTCCTGCACAGAACCGCAGATCATGCCCCGCTCCAGTCTCCTGTATAGAACCGCAGATGGCGACATCAGAGGGTTTGCTAGATTTCCCGCAGGCTGAGTCGCTGCTCTTTCTTGGCTGATTTAAAACCCCACCTTCGTCACAGTCACGTGTGTGCGTCTGTCAGTATTTCTGGGCCTTCTCTCCTGTTGATTTGTCTGTCTTATCCTCACTAATACCATCCCATAATCACCACAGATTTATAGTATATTTAATATCTAGTCGAGTGAGTCGCTGTTCATTTTTCTCTATTAAAATAATATTTTTATGTTTTTGCATTTCTCTTCTGCACTAACTTTATTGTTCTTTCTTCTTTTTTTTTTTTTTTGGAGAGTTTTTTACT